GCTGGCCGGCGGGGCGGCCGCGCTGAGCGCCCGGCGTGCTCCTGTAGCGCTCCTGGGTGCTGCTGGCGAGGGCGAGCCATGTCGGAGGCCGTGGATCTGTCGTTCCTGTCGGACGCGGAGAGGGATTTGATCCTGCAGGTGCTGCAGCGCGACGAGGAGCTCCGCAAAGCAGAGGAGAGGAGGATCAGGTGAGGACGTGCCTGCGCCAGGCAGGGTGCCGGTTTCGCTGCTTTGCTCTAGAAGGGGCTGGGGGGGTGAGGACGGACGCCGGTGATGGGGCTGGGGTGGCAGGTCTGCCCCGTTCCCGGGGCCCCGGCGCGGTTTGACGGCTCTCGGTGTTGGGGTCTGAGCAGGCGCCTGAAGAACGAGCTGCTGGAGATCCGGCGCAAGGGAGCCAAGCGGAGCAGCCAGCGCTACAGCGAGCGGACATGTGCCCGCTGCCAGCAGAGCCTGGGCCGCATCAGCCCCAAGGCCAACACCTGCCGGGGCTGCAACCACTTGGTGTGTCGGGACTGCCGCTCCTACGGCCCCAACGGCTCCTGGCGCTGCAAAGTCTGCTCCAAGGAGGCGTGAGTACATGGGGACAAGTGGCAGGGACTTTTTGCATGCTCTTCCTGTCCCCCTCTTCTGCCCAGTCACTCCAGCTCGATGCCCCATGGCCGACCTTTCCTACCCCAGCTGGTCTCCAGTGCGGGGCAGCTGTCCCTGCTGTCACTTCCCGGGGTGGGCACCCACGGTTGGGTGATGGAGAATTGATGGGCCCATGTTCTCCTCGGCTGAGGCAGCACCAAGGGTGGTGTTGGGGTGCAGGGAGCAATCCCCCACTGCCCCTGACTGCCCTCCGCTGCCCCTCTGCCCTGCAGCGAGCTGAAGAAGACGACGGGCGACTGGTTTTATGACCAGAGAGTCAACCGCTTTGCCAACCGGCTGGGCAGTGACATGGTGAGGCTGTCCCTGAGGCACAGGTCGGCAGGTAGGGTTGTCACAGCGACGTCTTCTCCCACAGCCCGGCCCTCCGGGATGCTCTGACTTCCTCTGGCACGCCTCTGCCCGGCGTAGAGCTGGCTGGGAGCAGCTCCTGCTCCAGGCAATGGGCTTGAAGCAGTGGTTCTCTTGATGCCTCTCTCCTTCCAGCCAGCAAAAGAGAAACTGTAGGACAAACCCTCCTCCAGAAAGCCCAGCTTGGCGAGCCCAAAAGCTCCTCTGCAGCCCGGCAGCAGAGCCCCCCAGCACGCCGTGAAGGGCCCAGGTGAGGATCCCTGCCATCTCCCCTGCTCTGGGTGCCAGCCCTCACCTGCTGCAGGGACGGGAGGGACGCTGCCACCTTGCTTGGATCATTGGTGGTGCAGAAGCTCTCTCTCAGACAGGCTTCCTTGCCAAACAGGACATACCTGTGGTTTTGTTTGTCTGCAGTTTGTTTCTGGATGCCTCAGATCCTCGGGATGGCAAAAGCGACACAGAGTCCATGGAAAACATGAGCCTGGATGGCTACAAACCTAGTCCCAGTGGTGTGGGGGGCAGGTGAGGGGCTGCCTGGGTGGTTTGTCCTTGGCAAGAGGACCTGCATCTCAAGTGTATTTTTTCAGTCTAATGCAGGGGAGCTCACTCCTCTGGCTGGGCTGAAACCTGTCCCTGAGCAGGCAGGTCCTCTGCTCCCAAGCTGGGGTGCTCCAGGGAGCTTGTGGGGAGACAGCGCTTCCCAGCCAGTGCTTGCTCTCCCAGCTGTGCTCTTGGCCTGGGACAGACCTTTCTGTGTCCTCTTGCAGGAGTAACTCCCTGGAGAGAGCTGCCCCTCTTAGAGATGGAAAGCAGGTTGCTGTGCCAGCAGGATCTGCTGCCTCCAGCCTGACTCTCCCTCTCCGCTCCAAAAATGCGTTCTCTGACGGACGGGTGCGTGCCGCTGCTTTGGCAGGCTCAGCCCTGTCCTGGGGCACAGGGTTGGCAGCCCTGTGGGGTGCTCAGCCCTGCTCTGAAGGGACCTTTCCATCCCAGGATGCCGCCGTGGGGAGCCGCACCAGTGCCTTGGTGGATGAGCACGAAACAATATTCAAGAAGAATCCCCGGCGGGTGTTGAGGCCTGCGGGTGAGAGCTGTGTGGGTGCAATGGGGTTTGGGTGCTGACATGGCAGGGGGTGGGTGGCCGCTTCTCCCTGCGCTGTTGTGGGCTTCTGGTGCAGATGGGAGAGGCTGGGGCAGCCCCTTGCTTGAGGGAGCAGTGGGGCTTTGCTAGTCCTGCACCGTGCCGCTGCCTCCTGCCTCGCCATCTCCTGTGCAGACTACACCAAGTCAGTGATCGACCTGCGCCCGGAGGACTTTGTGGGGGAAGGCAGCTCTTTGGGGGACAGGAGCAAGTCGGTCCCTGGCCTCAACATGGAGCTGGTGAGACTCCGGGTGTGCTGCGGGGCCGACTGCCTGGCCGGCCGTGTCCTGCTGCTCCCCATGCAGGCGGCTTGTCTCTCTCCTTGCAGGAGGAGGAGGAGGAGGACATCGATAACCTGGTGGAGATCCATCGCCAGAGGGTGGCCCGGGGCAGCATGCGCAGCGGCACCTCCTCGGTGAGTCCCTGCAGCATGGCCATGCTCTGCTCCACTGCACAGAGAAATGATGGAGAAAGGCAGCGCCGACAGGTTGGGTGGGAGAGAGGCAGGGGCGGGCAGCTCCTGGGGTGCAAGGACAAGAGCTTGGGGTGTGGCGGCTTCCTCCCTTTGAAGGGAATCAGAATGCAGAGACCCAGCTCTCTTCCAGGGAGCCTGTCTGTGGGTGGGAGGCACTCAGCAGTCATCCCCAGCCACGGAGGGGTGAGAGGGGCTTGTTGAGGGTGAAGAGGGACCATCAAAAGATGCTGCCCTGGTTCAGTCCTGTTGTTTTCTAGAGCACGTTGGGGAGCATGGTCAGCATTTACAGCGAGGCTGGTGACTTTGGCAACGTCGCGGTCACCGGCGGAATCTCCTTCTCCCTGAGCTACGAGCAGAAGACACAGACCTTGTTCATTCACGTGAAGGAGTGTCGCCAGCTGGCCTACGGGGACGAGGGCAAGAAGCGCTCCAACCCGTGAGAGCTGGCGGGGGGATGGCTGCTGGCACTACTGGTGGTGCTCAGCTGGGTTGCGGGGTGCCCATCAGAGACAGGAGCTGTAAGTGGGGGGTCCTGATGAGGCAGAAGGTCTGGGGTTACCCTGGGGAGCTTTGGGGGGCGAGTTGTGGGGAGACCTTGGTGAAGGTGCTTTTTATTCCTCCCTTCAGGTATGTGAAGACCTACCTCCTGCCAGACAGATCCCGGCAAGGGAAACGCAAGACAACCATCAAACGCAACACAATCAACCCCCTGTACAACGAGCTGCTGAAGGTGAGCGGGGAAGGGCTGGGGTGCAGCCTGCTTCCTGCTGCGGGGCTGGGCAGCCCCTTGAAAATGCTGCTGGAGCAAACCAGGGGAGGGATGGGCTCTAAACCCTGAAATGGGGGCTCTGGGGTGTCCAGACACTGCACTGTGAAAGCTGGAAAAACCCACTCCCAGGCTGGGTCACTGCTCTGATGTGGCTCTGGTGTCAAGCCCTGGGTGCCATGGTGGGGTGGAGGCACAGCTGCAGCTGTATGTGTGTCACAGGCTGTGTTCCTGGCTGCTGTGCATCCCCCAGAGCTGGGGCCTTCGGCTTACCCTGAAAATTGCTTTACATGGAGAAGGCTCCTGGGGCATTATAGGCAGGTTACAGTGGTGGGAGGGAGGGCAGCATGGCTGCAGAGGCAGTTCTGGGACCCAGGACAGGACTTGGTGCTCCCTTCACCATCCCTGCTGCAGCCGTCATGGGGTGGTGGGACTGGTTGTCTCTGTCCCTGAGCCCAGCGGCACATCACCGAGGTCACATGCTCTCTGGACAGGAGTGAAATGGGAACTGTGGTTTGGCTTCCAGGCTCCCACAGCCCTGGGTTTGCTGAGGTCTTGCACTCTGACCACCTGAGGCTTGGTGGGCTGGCAGCTTCGCTTGTGGTGGGTCAGGGTGGGGTGGTTGGATGCCATGAGTCCTGGTCCTGGCTCTGCATGGGCTCTGAGGACCACTTGCCTGGAGAGCATGGGCTCCTGCACCACTTCCCCAGCACTTTGAGGTTTCAGCAGCCTTGGAAAGGAAAACAGTCTCCTGCGTGCATCCATTGTTCCTCAAACCTGTCCCTTCTCCCTCTCGGGAGCTGTGGCTGATGGTGTATGCCAAGCCTGGCACTGCCTGCTCACCGGTGGTTTCCCTGTCTCTCTTCCTAGTACGAGATTAACAAGTCCCTGCTGCTTGCAAGGACGCTACAGTTCTCTGTCTGGCACCATGATCGCTTTGGCCGCAACACGTTCCTGGGGGAGGTGGACATCCCACTGGACACCTGGAACTTCGAGAGTCACCTGGAAGAGTTTCTGCCCCTGCACGGCAAGGTGCTGGCCCTGCCACCCCAGCCCTGCTGCCTGCAGCCTCCTTTGCCTGGCCCTGTCCAGGGGGGTAGCCCTCAGTGGGCTGGGGGCTGCAGAGACAGCTGAGAGCTGCTGAAAGGCTTGTATCAAACCAAATCTTTGGAGAAATGACCCCAGATGCAGACAGCAGTACTGTCGTAGTAAAAAAGGACAGATCTGCCTTGAGCCTAGCTTCCCTCCTCCTCCTCAGTAAGTCCCCTATGTGATGCTGCAGGACTTGTCTCTGCCCCATCAGGTATTCTCATTCTGCTTGCTCCAAGGGAGCAGCATTTCCCAGCTCCTTGCCCCAGCCAGGAGGAATTGGAGCCCATTTCAGGGAAGCAAATAGAAATTGGCCAGGACATCCTGCTGTGGGTGGCAGAGCCAGGCAGTGAGGGCCTTCATGCAGCTCGATGACAGCAGCAGATGCTGCCGCTGGACTTAAGTCTGATTCTCTAGACTAACTCATACTGTGGGCTCGGCCTCAGCACAGCTGGGGATCAAGCAGCTTGTGCAAACCCCTAAAGAGTTTCCTAAGGGAGGTGACTGAGCTAAAGCGGGATCCCAAAGGAGCTAGTCTGAGTCTGACCTGGTGATGCTGGGGAGGGTCTGCTGGCATTTGTGCCTGGCTAAACCACCTCTGGCAGAAGCCCAGCCCTTTGGCCCAGCACAGGGAGGTGCTGCCTTCAGACCAGGCCGTCACCATGTCAGCTCTGGCCTCCCCATCAGTGCTTGATAAGTCTTCCCTCTTTGCAGATTGTGTCAGATGCTGCTGGTCTCCACCAGTACAAGGGGGAGCTGGTTGTCTCCATGAAATACATCCCATCTTCCAAGCACCCTGGGGCTGGGAATGGCAGGAAGGGTGAGTGCTGGAGCTCCAGGATCAGTCCGTGGCCTGTGGGACCTGCTCGGGGCCAGGCGAGCTGGGTCTGTGTGGGTTTCTTTGGTGGTGCCACTGCAGCCCTGTCCTCTGCAAGGCTGCTCTGAGTCAGGGCAGACCTGGCTGTCCTCAGGCTGGCTCAGTGGTCACAGTGCTTTCCTGGGACTGGACCAGGCTGGACCATCAGGTCACACATGAAACAATTGTCTGCCTTCACCTCAGCAGACAGGGAGGAGGCAAGAGAAGATAATAGCTGGGGATCTGTACCTGTCTGTGTGATGAAGGCTCTTCAGCAGGACCTTTCCAGAAGTTTGCAGTTGTGGAAGTTTAAGGTTGATTAATTCTTGCTGTGTTGTTTTTTTTTTCCCAGGCAAAACAGGAGAAGGGGGTGAGCTCCAGGTCTGGATCAAAGAAGCCAAGAACCTGACAGCTGCCAAATCTGGGGGGACCTCAGACAGCTTTGTCAAGGGGTGAGTGTGGGTACTGGGTAGGGGGTCACTGAAGGCACTGTCCTCCCTGGCTGCATCCCGGGGGGAAGGGTCTCTCTGCTAGCTGCCCTGCACTGCCTGCGTTGTGACCGTGGAAGTCACCATCTGCCCAGAGACAAGATGCTCCCAGTAGCAAATGCTCTCCCCGGTTTTAGCTGGTAGAGAGGTCGTGGTGGGAGGCTGTGTGCAGGGCAGGGCTCCAGCTGCCATCAAATCATCTTCACGAGGCAGCATGGCTGGGAGTGAGCAGGTTCCACTCCGTGCCCTCTCCCCTTCTTAGACTGCTTGCAGTCTGCTGGGCAGCTTTTTCAGAGGTAGGGTAGAGACCCAGCCCCTTACAGACTGTTGTGGTCCTTCTTTCCGAGCTATATCAGGGAAGGTGGGCTCCAGGCCAGGTCCTGGGGTGCTGCTGAGGTGTCTCAGCCCCTGGGGTGGAAGGCAACGGCACACGTGTTGCTAACCCAAGGGGCTGCTTCCCCCAGCTACCTCCTGCCACACAAAAACAAAGCCTCCAAGAGGAAGACGCCTGTGGTGAAGAAGACCCTGAACCCTCATTACAATCACACCTTTGTCTACAATGGTGTCAACCCCGAGGACCTGCAGCACATCTGCCTGGAGCTGACAGTCTGGGACCGGGAGCCACTGTCCAGCAACGACTTCCTTGGGGGTGTTCGTCTGGGGGTGGGCAACGGTGAGGAGCCTTGGGGTCCCATCAAACCCTGGGGACAAGCAGCCTTGCTTGGGGCTGCCTCTGCAGGCAGGAGGGTGCTCCGGCAGTGACTCCTGGCCACATCCATCCTTTCTCCCAGGCATGAGCAATGGGCAGGCTGTGGACTGGATGGACTCCACGGGCGAGGAGCTGAACCTGTGGCAGAAGATGCGTCAGTACCCGGGCTCGTGGGCAGAGGGGACGCTCCAGCTCCGTTCCACCATGGCCAAGCTGAGGCCGTAGGCTGCGGCACCAGGACTCAGCCGAGGACTTGGGAACCGCATTCGCTGCACGGCCTGGTGAGGCTGCCAAATGTGCATTGATTTTATTTTTTTTTTGTGCTTATACTTTAATAAACATGACCTTCTCTAAACAGGCTTGGGCAGAAAGTCTTCTTGGCCTAGCTGCTTTTAAAGAGTTTTCCTTTTGTCTTAGGCTTTGCACCAAATTTCAGGCTGAACTAGAGTCCTTGTGGACCCTCCCTTCTTTCCCCCCAGGCAAAATGCTTTGAAATGTGGTTGGGTTTTTTATTTTCATTCTTCTTCCCACCCACTCTGTTCCACAGTCTGCTCCCTTGTCTTCTTCACCCTCCTCCCCCAAGATGTTGCCTGCTCCAGGACTGGGGCAGCCATGCACAGCCCAGCCCCAGGATGGAGCCATGCGGGGTCAGTGGTCCCCAGGAAGGATTCATTTCCCCAGCCCCTGTGTGACACATCTTCTGCCCAGCACTGACTTTTTATATAAATTTATTTATTTCGAGTTAATATTCTACTGCCAAAACAGTTCCCAGGCAGGGTGCCCCGTGCCTGGCAGAAGGAGAAGCAAGGGGTAGGGTGGGGAGGGCAAGCCCTCGGGGAGAGCTGCGCACTGGCTGGCTGCTATTGGCTTTGCTGAGTGTGGGGCCGTCTGTTTTTAATAAAGGCTTTCTGGCAGGACCCTTTCTGGCGGGTTCAGGTTGTGCATGAGGTGAGGATGGCTGCAGGGAGGGTGAAGCTACTGTATTTAGAGGCTGTCGTGCTGTTGTCCTGCCTGCCTTACCTACTCTTTTCTGCTTTGGCAGCCTAGTGTCTGGTCCCCTCCCTCCCCCCTGCCCTGGAGTTTGGGCAGAGGCGCTCCGGTGTCTCCCACTGTAGTCTTGGCTGGGCTGAGCCATCCCACCCCGCAGCCAGAAGCTGCTCCTTGCTTCAGGGCAGTGGGGACACTGCCGGCACATGGCCCCCATCCTCGTCCCTGCTCGCCTCTCTGTGCCAGAGCAGCTGGAGAGGGGCTCCCCTTCCCCTGGAGGTCCTCGGCAACCCGGTCCTCCTCTACGGTGGGCAACTAGAAAAGCAGAAAGGAAGGTGTCCGTTCCCTGAGGCCACTGGAGGCAGAGGGGGGGTCTCCCCGGCGCTGCCTCACTCGCAGGGGTCCCCGCTCTGCGCCCGCCGCACCGCCTCCCGCTCGCTCAGCAGGTAGGTGTCGATGAAGACAAAGAGCTCGTCGGGGTTGATGGGGGAGATGTAGCGCTCACGGTCGGCGCCTGCCTTGTCCAGCAGCACGGCGTTGAAGTGGGAGCGGGTGAGGTGCAGGAACTGCCTGGGGGTGCAGAGGGGAGCCACTGGTCAGAACTGGGAGGGGGTTGAGGGCTGAGCCTGCCCACCCCGCACAACCGTGCTCTGGTCTTCCTGGGGTGGTGGCTCCCATCCGTTCCTCGGGGCTGTGAGCTCTGGGAGAGTCTGGTGACGCCGTATTCAGACTTTCTGGGGGTGTCTCTGCATTGCACAAGCCTCTCCAGTGCAGCGGACGGGGGCTGCCCACGAACCCAGCTACAACCTCATGCTTTGCCATCCCCAGCGGTGTCCCCATCCCTGGTCCCCTCACACAGGCACCTGGCTCTGCAGGACAGATGCCCCTGTCCCCCCTACCTGAGCTCCTCAATGATGCCGAGGGACAGCTGGTGCTCCCGGATGCGTCCCACCTCGTGTGGGGGCTGCCCCACCAGCTCGACGGTGGTGACATGACGCAGGTCCAGCCCGCAGGCAGCTTGCTGTGGAAAGGGGGGATGGTGAGAGGGTGCTGGGCTTGGAGGTGGGAAGGGGGGCAGCGGGAGGGTCTCGTCACCTGCAGCATGGAGATTTGCATCTTGTAGTAGCGGTTAGAGGGGTCCGGGGCCGAGATGACAAGGAGGCGGCGTTTCTCATGGAACTGATCCAGCAGGCTGGCAGCTGAATTCACGGCCGTGTTGATCTGCATGGCTGGGGTGAGAGGCCGGCATGTGGGAAGATGCCATTTTGTCTCCCATCGCCCCTTTCCCACTGCTTTGCCCTGCCAGGCAGCATCTCCCCTCAGAGCCAGGCATCGCCGTGGGCAGGTCCTCCCTTGCCCCCCCGCCACTTACGTGCACAAAGGGGCTGGGAGCCCGTCCACTGCTGGGTGGACTGGCAGACCCGCAGAGAGCTGCCCTGGCGCTCGTAGCCCCCGTCACACAGGTACTCGCAGGTGGCACCGTAGTTGTTGCCGTCGGAGGTGCAGGATAGGTAGCCATTCTGCGGAGGCTTCAGGACAGGGCAGCGCCTCACTGCGAAGAGGGAGGCTGGGTGAGGGCTGGGGGTGATGGGGCATGGCCCCAGCCATGCGGTGCAGAGCCTGGAGGTGGGGGGAGGCAGCCAGCAGCCCCAGGGGAGCCCGCTTCACCTTGGACACGGATGCTGAACTTGCAGCTGGCTCGGTTGTATGCCTGGTCATGGGCGGTGTAGCGGATCACATGCTCTCCTTCGGGGAATTCAGAGCCGGGCTCTGGGCCTCGCAGCATCACCCTGCGCCCAGCAAACGTGTTTCTCCATCAGGATTCCCAGAGGGGGCACGCAGCATAGCCCGCAGCCCTCACTGATGGTGCCAACAGCACCTCCACCCTCACCTCTTGATGATGCCATCAGCAGAGTCCTTCACTCGGGGTGGGTCCCAGTAGACAGTGGCGGTCAGCTTGCCAGGCTCAGCTATCCGTTCCCGGGAGTCGGGGCAGCGGATCTTGGGAGGGTCCACATCTGTCCACAGGGAGAAGAGGGAGTTGGGGAACCTGCCTCAGCTACAAGAGCCAGGCACTGGCCCCAGGGCTCGGCCACCCCAGGGATGCTGTGCACAGCCCAGGCACCCTGGAGCCAGAAAAACCTGCTGTAAAGCCAGCACTGAGCACCCCAATCTTGGATCAATGTCCCTTGCACCAGCCCCTGCTTCAGGGCTAATGGCACTTCAGAGGTCCCAGGGCTAGGAGGTGCAGGAGCTGGCAGTGCCCAGGTCAGAGACGAGGGTAAGGCCTGCAGGCACCCCAGGGATGGAGGGTGGCCCACCCTTGTGTGCCCCAGCAGCGTGGGGCTGGGAGGATGGTAGGGTGAGGATTTACCTACACAGATTGGCTCGCTCCCGCTCCAGCGCCCATCCTCCATGCAGATGCGGCTCCGGTCGCCCTCCAGCTGGTAGCCGGGCAGGCAGGTGTAGTCACAGCGGGAATCCATCTGCACGCCAGCGGAGCACACATAGGAGCCCCGCAGCACCGCTGGCAGCACATGGCACCGGATTTCTGGGACAGAGAGAGCAAAGATCAGAAGGAATCTGCCTGGCCATGCTAGTGGGCAGAGCACCCAGCACTGGCCACCACAGGTGCCCATGGGCATGCTGGCAAGCCAATGGTCACACTCACGTCGGCAGTACGCCATCCCGGACCAGTGGCGGCTGGGCAGGCACTGGACAGTGCTGGGCCCCACCAGCCGGTACCCACGGGCGCAGGTCAGCTCACAGCGTGTCCCCAGGCTGCTGCGGTAGGAGCCCCCCCGGGGTGAGTAGCAGGTGGCCTCTCCGCGGTGGATGTTGAGCGTGGCACACCACTGGGGCACTGGGGAAGAGGAGGGATGTGAGGGGGCACCCAGCCCTGCCAGGCCTCGGTTTCCCTGTGAGGACCTGAGGGGTGGGTTTGGGTGCTGTTACCTCGGTGGTAGTCCAGGGCAGGCTCAGGGGGGGTTTCTTCCACGTACACTTCATTGGTGTGGCTCTCAGCTGTGTAGTAGCCAGACCCTGGGAAGGAGGAAAGAGTCGAGGGGCTGTGTGATTGCTTGTGGCTGCAGCAGCACCCTGGCAGCAATGCCTCCCGGGACAGCCCCCCTCTGGCCCCAAAGCATCACACAACTCCCAGCAAGTGATCCCATCCTTGGGCAGACCCTGTCCTGCTGTCCTTGGGGCTGCTGTCAAGGGTTAAGCCGGGCAGACAGCGATCCCAGTCCTCGGCGACGTGGTGTGTGCTGGCACCAGCCTGCAGACTAAACAGTGGCAGAAGCAGCCGTGGTTATGGCAGGAAACGAGTGCTGGCGTAGAGTGGGCTGGCACCGACCCCTGGCTTCGTGCTGCCGGGAAGTTCTCCTTCCATTGCTCCCCTGGCACCGTTCCTGCCATTGGGCGTCCCCAGGGAAGGAACAAAGCTGCCCTCTCCTGCTGTCCCAGCGGAGCCCCTGGCCAAGGCAAGGGAGGAGAGGCGTGCTGCTCAGCCGGGGGGCTGGCGGGGATGCAGCCCCTCGCTTGCACGCCAAGGAAGGATGAAGCTGCTGGAGGGGCTTGGCTGGAGCTGCTGGCCCCACGCCATCTGTGCCGTGCAGAGGGGCCTCTGGCCCCATGGACGGGGGGAGGACAGCCTTGCGCCATCCTTGCGGGTCACCCTCTGGCCTGCACTGTGTCCCCATGGGCAAGGGACCAGCAGGCGGGGAGGGAGCTGTGCAGGGGAAGAGGGCCGGCGTCCTTCCCCGCGGCCCCTCGGCGCCTTGGTAGGCCACGGCATTCCCCAGCACTGAGCTCACGTTTCCGCCGCGTTTCCGTCAGCCCCCGCCAGCGCTGCCCCCTCCTCACCGCCAGCCCACCCCACCGCACTCCCTGCGCCGGCATGGCGGGGATGCTCGGTCTGGGCAGGGACCCCGGGCGAAGCGGCAGCCCCGCTGCGGCTGCACCCACCTTCCTTCCCCCCGCTCCGGGTTTGGGAAGGGGATATCCGCCGAGGCCAATTCAAGCAGCAGTCCCATCGTCACGGGGGAGGAAACTCCATTACAAATCTTTCCAACATGAACTTTACTACAGAGCGACTCCCCACAAGCTTCATTAAGTCGCCCACTCGTTTCCAAAAGCCTTTTATCCCGACGCTCTTCCCACGCTGCCTTGGGGAGCGGAGGGGCCTGGGGCGAGCGCAGGGCTGGATCCGTGGGGATGTGTCCATGACCCAGCAAGCAAGGCTGCTTTTGGGGGGGCTGCTCACCCCCCCGCCGGGGCCCTGGGGATGGGGTGTGCTGTGTCTCCCGCAAGCAGATGTGCCATTTCATTGCAGTGGTCCCTTTTTGTGTAGGCGCTGCCTTTTCCTTCTCACCTGGGGCCAGCTCACAGCTCTGGTGGCATCAGGCAGGAGCGTCCCCAGCCAGCCATGCTGGCAGTGTGGCAAGGGGATGGGGATGGAAACAGGGAGGGGGGAAATTCCCCCAACTAGGGCAAGGGCTTCTGATCCTTGACTCAGCTGGCCAGCTGCAGGGGGAGAAGGTTTGGATCTGAGCACTCCGTCCAGGCAAACATCTGCCGGGCGATGGCCCCCGCGGGAGCAGGGAGTCAGCGGGAAAGCTGCACCCCCGCAGGCAGGAGCATGATGGAGAGGCTGGTTTTCTGCTCCTCTCTGGATGCCTCCCAGCACCCCTTCTGCTCCTCCCCGTATCCCACAGAGCACCCCTGAAGGCACCCCATACCCCGCAGCCACTGATGCTCTCCCCAGCATCGCTGTACCAGGGCACCCCTCCCTCCCTCCCTCCCCACCATCGCTAGCACTTTGCCTTGCCCCTGCAGAGCCATCCCAGAACAGCCCTGTAGCTTCTCTCTGCCCCTCTCGGTCTGTACCTCGGGAAAGGAGATAGACATGTCTCTGGACATAGGAGAAATACCCCCTGCTGAATGGCTGCAAACTGCTCTGTCTCTTGGAGAGGGTTTTACTCCCCAGCTCCTGCCAGTGTGTGCTGTGTGACCTGTCACCATGCTGATGCTCAGAGGTAGCACAGGGGCTTCATCACAGCTAGCTCAGCATGAGGATTCATCCTGATTCGTTAATACTTTTGTTCCACTTTGTGGGACACGCTGTTAATAAACCATGTAAATCCAGAGAGCTAGGATTTTGAGAGACTTAGAACTGAAAGAAAGGACTTGTCAGTTTAGCCACTTTTCTTTTTTCTTTCTTCTTCCTGCATCCCATTCTATTACAGCAATAATTAGTGTGACAGGAGAAATGGCCTGAATCTATTTGAATGACTCTATCCTGAGCAGCAGTCACCACCATTCCCATCTGATACTTCACAAGCGTTATAAAAAATGTTCTTAACAGTGACAGTCACTTCAGGAAAGAGGACAAGTCTCAAATAACCCTATCAATTTTCCTTTTTCCTACGTCAGGTGTTTCTTTTGGTTTTTTACGTCTAATCAGCTGGTATGCAAGCAGCTGGGTGGCTGGGTGATGCAGGGTTGGGATTATGTGTGAGGGCCAGCAGTGGAGGTACAAAGGCTGTGATGTTTATTGCCATCACCGGCAGTGGTGGCTCTGCGTGTGTTAGGCAGCTGGGCAGAGTGATCTGTGGGGGTATTCCGAAAGCAATAAGGGAAAAGAAGTGTGGTCTCCTTAGAGACACAGTATCCAGCCTCAGAAAGAATCTATCCATTGCCTCTAAAAGGAGCCTGGAAACCTATCATTTAGTCAGGGGTAGCGCATCCCTCCTCACTGCTGGGTTGTAGGACCCTGCGGCTGCAGACAGACAGACAGACAGCTCTTTCCATCCAGCTGCACCAGT